TCTCGATTAACACGATTTCGCTGAACGCAACCCCCGGGTTAAGCGAGGTTGTAAATTTGTGAAGCAAATTTAAAGGAATACTGCAAACGCACAAAGAAAATGTTGTGAATATTTATTTGTTTTATTAAAAAAGTAAGTGGACTACTAAGCCTAAAAAAGAATCTAACAACATTACAATAACAACTCATAACTTGAACAATATCTTATTCGCATTATGAGTGAAAGACAGTTCTCCCCGACGCTGGTACTGCAACGTGCTCGAAAAGTGCACTCGCTTTTTACAATTTGTAAAATTTATCAGAGCGGGTACCTTTAGTAAGTATTGGTAGCTTATAGTAGATATGTATGTATCTTATTTTTTACAAAACGATAAGCACTCTTATTATCTTGTCACCAACCTCACATGTACTTGCTTCTACGTGATTGCTCTAGAGGCGGTACTTTTCAACTAGCATGACAAAAACAAACATTTATCTAAATTTTTACACGCCCTAACATTAAACAAATATATACTTACCTCGGGCAGGGGATACGAGTTAATATTTAATGTTCTGTCTATATCTGTGTTGATTATGGAGGGACCTTAAACAAGATACAATAAAAAAATAATTGTGTAATGCAAGCAACGTATTTGAGGTTGGCGTCATAGGGCGTCACAGAACTCGTCACAGAAATGGATCATCCGACGAAAAAATACTTATGAGTATTTCTATAACAGCGTTCGTATACCCTGTACCCGTAGGGTACATTAGGCTTGTGCAAAGTTTGTAACAGGCAGAAGGAGGCAAATCCGACCCCGTAAAGTGTATCGATCTAGACATGTCCGACCGTTCGTTTGTCAATCCGGGTGGACGCTTGGATTTCGGAAAAGTTTGAATGCACATTAAATAAACTTGGTATGTACGACATCTATACATATCTATCTATATTCTTCTATCAAGTTTCATTCAAATCGGTAAATTAAAACAAAGTTATTAGCGGAACAATCTCACTCCAGTACTTCGCCCCAAAACTGAAGCATTCTTCCTCTTTTTGCTTGTGCTGGCGTCCTCTCTTGTCATAAAGTACATAATTATTGAGAAGTTTATACATACATACATACTCGTACGTATATATAAGTACATATTGTAAGTACGTCACAGAACTAGTGCATCGCCATTAATTACACCTTTTTCTGGTAAATAAAGATAAGTACAAAAATGATATACCCTGGGCTAAAAAAATGTAGATTATATTTTCATTTAGAAATATTTTATGAAAAACACGTGCATATGTATGTATTACTTATGTTCAATGCGAAAAACGCAGGGGGAACTCAGAATATCCGTACACAGGTGGGGGGAGGTGTATGGTGAAAAAGGGGGAGGCCATTGCCCCTAACTCTTTAGAATTTTTCCGCAATCTGCAGTGGACCATACATTTATTATTACGGCGCACTATATAGTGCACAGCTCACAAACAGCTATATAGCATATGCATAAATTATTAAATATTTATTTAATTAAAATTTTAATACACCATGAGTGGCTTTGACATTACCTGACTATTGGTTGTAACGATGGGTATGTGCTGTTAATTTTTCATGGCGCAACGTAAACTACTTTAAGCAATTAATAAGAATACTATTAATTATATGCAAAACTCGAGTTAACAAAGTTTTTCAATGCAATTGTTGTTGGAATAGAATAAGTGATTAAGGTAGAAAATGGATCTTCAAGAAATCAAGCTTTTTATCATATAGTGGTGTATGTAAAAGCGTGTTTGCAATCGGCCTATTCAACATATCAAAGCACAACGGCAGTCTTCAACCTGTTGTAAACATAATTCAATCGAAAAGTTATGACGTTTTTTTGAAAAATTTCTCCAAATTGGCAAATAACGTATCACTTGAAATAATTATGCAAAGAATTATGCAAACAATTAAAAATTGTTTTTCCCAAAGATTTTCGGAACAAAATAATGCAATTTTTTTAAGCTACTTTAAATCAATAAAATATGCGACCATACAAAAGCAAAAATAAAAGGCATCTATAAACCCAATTTAATATAATTTAAATAAACTGTTTCCGGTTTCATTCCCTGTATATGTAACAATGTTAGATGTCCTTCCGCCGCTTCGTTCGCCTCGTTGAACTCTTCTAATGCTCAAATGGTCAAAAGCTGGAAAATCCATAATTAAATACATAAAGTAGCTTAATTATTGCTTCGAGTTCTTTTTTTGCAAAATAATGTACAATACCAGAGGTTGCCGTAACACTTCAAATAAGTACTTAGTATAGTTACTGATAGTGTTGAGTCCCTAGAAATGAACAATTTCATTTTCTGCAGAATGTGTTATCAACAAGATATTGACTTGTTCGAGGAAATTATTTTGATGTGGTAAAAATATAAGGGCATTATCAAAAATATGTTCGTTTCAAATTCTGAGGGTTGTTTACAGCAACAGCAATAACAGGATATAGCAGGAGTTTCTTTCACACACTATGTAACATAGGTTGAAGGAAGAATCTCCGAACTCATAAAAAATACTTCCTTAAATGTACCATACATGTTTACATTCTGTTTTTACACGGTATTTTTTTACTCGGTTTGAAAATAAACAATTTTTAATTTTATTACATTTTGTTCCATTTACCACGATTGAAAAAATCACAACTCAAATAAATAAAAACACGCACAGCTCACAAACAGCTAGATACAATTCTTTTATGGGTCGCTATAAGCAATTATAGAAAGAGGTAGTAACAATTGGCCAACAACAGCTAATTACAGAGTTCACTGTTTAAAATTTAAATTTTTGTACCTTAAAAATGAATAACCTATATTTTTTGTTAACTGCTTTACATACATACATATACAATTGGTTTTGCATTGTTTTTAGTTCCTGAACTTATCATACATTTAATTTACATATACTTTTACGCTTAGAGTGCATAACTTTTTTTCTTTAATAACTATGCTTGTGTAAATACACAAAAACTTGTTCCCAAAAAATCCTAGTTTTTTCACAAATTTTAATAGGTTTTAGAGATAATATGTACCCATTTTTGCATACGATCAACGTCTTTTTTTTTTGATGCAACATTTGATAATGTGGTATGAAAAGTTAATTTTCAACATAAATTCGTTTTTCCGCCTTGAATTGCTTTCGTATTGGATGGCGCTATTTTAGAAGGAGCAAATGGAATGCATGCTTGATCAGCTCGATGGACTTAAATCTGTTGCTGATTGGCATTCTGTCGAAATATTTTCCAACTTTGGAAAGTCGTTTTTCATTTGCATATATTTTCTCCTTATGGTACTTACATCCGAGCCTGAGCAGCTACAATCGCATGGCGCTACATTTTCGCTTCCAATTTATCCATTCTTACAATCATCCTTTGTATATTAAATACTAATAAATTATTTGAAGATGTTTAACACACACTGTGAGCTACAATTACAATTTACTCGGCTTATAGTAAATAGTAAAACTTAAAAAAAAAACAAGAGAGAACGCTACAGTCGAGCAAGCCCGACAGTGTAATACCCTGTACCCAGGTAAACTTCCGTCACTGAGTTATATGCGCCCATAGCAGCAGCAAAAAGAGGAAGAAGAAGAGCGAACTTGTTGCTGCAGTTTGGGGCGGTTGTACTGGCGAGAATTTGTTTCGCTAATAACTTTTCTTAGAATTGACCGAATTGAATAAAATTTTGAACAGTAGACAATTATATATAAATTATGTGTGCAAAGTTTGGTTTAGGTAGCATTTGAAATGTGGACGCTATTGACGAAACTCTGGAGCGGGGAAAGGGGGGGAAAATTAAAAAAAAAAAAAATAAACTCGTCCTTACTCGGACCTAGGAGAATCTGGATGCCAACTTTGGTTATTCTAGCTTTTATAGTTTCTGAGATCCTCGCGTTCATCCAGACGGACGGACAGACGGACAGACGGACGGACATGTCTAGATCGATTTCTCTCGTCATGCTGATCAAGAATATATATACTTTATGGGGTCGGAGATGCTTCCTTCTGTATGTTACATACTTTGCACAAACCTAATATACCCTTTTTACCCTACGGGTACAGGGTATAAAAACTTACTAGTACTTTCGTAGGCATTACGAGTTCATGTTATGTTCCTCCCTTCCTCCACTAGCACTATTCCAAAGCTACCTAAAATAAACTAAACTTTTCAAACGTTGTTTATGTGTATGTAGTTTTCTATCTTAATTTATAATGTCAGCGCAATTCGGGTAAATGTAGGGAAAGTTACTAGCGAAACAATTTGACGGTGTTTCTTTAAAGAAGGTTTTCATGTTAGCTGTCAGCTGATTCGCTTGGCCATATGAGCAATTTATTTAGTGGCTATTGTGGTAGTGTAAGGTCTGTCAAGGCATTGGGAAATTTTGTGATTGTTTTGAAATAAAACGGCAAAAATTATTGTTTTAATGATAACAACTTTCAAACGCACCGCTGTCACTCTTTGTGACGCTTTGAACGCAAAAAACTTCAAGTGCTTTATGATTTTAATTTTTACGAGTATATCTTTCAGTTCGGTTAACATTGAAAACTGGTCTAGATTTCGAAAGGCAAATACGAGTATGGCAAAGGCACTCACACAGTTACCGTCCCTATCAGTGCTCGATAATAGAGCTGTTAACATATTGTGGGCACAAGATGTTTACATATTCGCTTTGTTGTAACAATTAATCAAATAACATGGGTTCTGTTTGCACAATTGTTAGAGCATTCATTGTAATTAGTGAATGAGACGACGATTGGGCCAGTAGGCTGGTAAGCTGGGGACCTGGTGTCGCTTTTTATCATTATTCAAGTAGCAAATTTGTTGATAGACTGATAACACGGTTGTTTATTGAGCGATGACTTGAAGGCAGTTTTCAATTTGAAACTTTGAGTACATTTCTTACTTATGTATGTATGCCACGCGATACAAACATCAGTGTATGGCTTGATTTCAATATTCATTTATCAATGCATATTACTCTCTCATTGCAGTGCACCAGATGTGGCGTCTTTTAGGATGCTAATGCCCGTATTATTATTACCAGAGGTAAGTGAGCCATTATCATCATTATCTTCCACTAAAAAAATTATAAAATATTCATCTTAATTAATAATTCATGCTATATTCTATAAGCCTTGCTTAGAAATGCAAGCTATCCTGTTCCGCGTCAGTTCCGTTTTTCGGTTATAACCGAGTAGATCGTCGCTCGACTCGAATTCGAACAAGAATTTTGGAAAAGTATCTTGTTGTTTCCTGTACCCTAAAAGTAAAAATATTGGTATATTAGGTTTGTGCGAAAAATGTAGCAGGTAGCAGGAAATATATCTGATGCGATAAAGTACATATATTCTTGGAAAAACAAATCGATCTAAACATCACAATTAACCAAAAGTGCCCAAAACTTGACGAAACTAATTTTACTTAAGCAGCAGCGGATTCATTATACTTTTTCTGCTTCTGCTATAAAATAGGGCAGAGCGGCGGAAGTTTTTCTTGGGTATAGGGTATTTCGCTGTCAGGCTTGCTCGCTTCTTTTCATTTTATGGCACATTGCCACTAAAAGCCCTGATGGGAAATCTCGTCAACTTTTGACTCAATTTTAATTGTAGGATTTATTCATACCTAACTCAAAGAAGAATGAAATGCTTAAGTCGAGTGAACTCAACTCTTAACTACCACATTCCCATTCCCACAAAAATATATGAAAAGAATTTTCGTTTTAAAGTAATTTAAGAAAATAAAAAAATTATTGGGCTTATATAGCTTCAATAGCCAACATATTTATATATGGGAATTGTGTGTATGCTTGTAATACAGAGTTTAACCAAAGGAGCAATAACAACAGTAACGGGCATAGCGTGGTCAGAGATTACATTTAGGGCTATATTTCAATTTTAATTTGAGTAAATATTTCCAAGAATTGCGGGATCTATGGAAGAGTACACCCGGAAAGAAATCAAAAACTGGAATCCGGATTTCAAGTTTGGTTATTCTAGCACCTATACTTTCCGTTCATATAGACGGACCTTCTGTGTGTTACATATTTTATTTATATGATGACATTCATACCGAACTAGTATACCCTTCCTCCCTTCGAGCAGATGGTATAAACATTTCAATGTAAGCGGGCTTAGAAATTAGCATTGCTATATACATACATACATACGTTTAAATTTAGAATAAAATTCTTGCAATTAAATCTTTTAAAACCAATTATCGAGCAGCGGAGCAGCGAGCGAATTGTAAAAGAAACATACAGGTATAATTATTTATACCCAAATGCCAAAGGCGTGAATACTTTTTCAGCTGACGGTTAACCCAATATTAAGAGTATAAGGAAATGATAGTTGTGTATACATAAGAAGAGATAACCAAAACAGACTGCATTCTCCAAAATAAAGTGTCATCACCTAATACGCAGAATAGAGCAAAAACAGTTTGTCACATATACTTGTACATAATTATTTTACTCCTATATTCCTAATTCCTAATTTTAAGCATTGGTTGTCTTTGTTCCATTTTTGATTATCAGAGGTCACAATTTGCGATGATTAGGGATTAGATATTATATCAACAATTTCAATATGCAACTGAGTTCCAATATTCATAAAATTACACAAGCTTCTGACAATATAATACATCTATGACAGCTATATGATATAATGATTTTTAAAATAATATTTATAGTCCAGGATTCTTGCGTTTAAAAGATTGACGGACAGGCGAATGGACCAACTTATCGTGTCATTTAGATAAAGAAGACTCTAGCGCACCTCTGACTGGGAACTATACTATATAATCGTATATTCTAATTAAACTACATACCTCTACTTGTTTACCCCTTCGGTCCAAAAGGCGGACTTGGAGCAGATTTTAGAACAAAATACTGGTATTTTTTCTAAGTGCGCGTGCCTCATACTTGTACATACATATGTACATATGTACGTACCTATATACATACTTGTACATGCTTATCTCTTACTGTCATCGCAGCGACTTAGGAGCGCTTGATATACTTACATATTCAAAATGGGAAGGTAGAGGTCGCGCTAAAACTTGATCAATGGGCATTAGGGTATCATGGTATTAGAGTGCAATAGCAGAGCAAGCCTGTGAAGGTAGGGTAAGGGGTAAGGTAAGGGCAGGGTAAGCAGCTGCGATAGCTACGATGGCGCTGCTGTCGTCTAGCAAGTGTGTTTAACTGTAAGTCACTAACTGGAAGTCAGCTGCTATATCCACTAGCTGAACTTAATTAATTACTTTGTTTGCCAGCGCTCAAAAGTGGCTCTGCAAGTGCCCAGATGGACAGTGCCAGTGCATCGGACTGGGAACACTTATGGGTTTGCCAAATGGGTGTCTGAGTTACATTCCTTGAGTATTTCTCGAACGGCATTAGCTGGTGGGCGGGTGCTGATTTGTTCGTTTTGTTATCGTTGGAGTGATTAATCATTTATCATTGCACAGTACTGAAGCTTTTTTGTCTGTCCATTCGGCAAGATGATGGGCGGGGGCCCATGCGTTTGTCACTTTGTCGCTTTGTCGCTTGTCAGCTGCATTGTGGTCAACGTGGCGCATCGTGTTCATTGACGTCACTCACACACCACCTTGGCGGTTGCTTGCTAGGTTGTTGTGGTGTCCATGCGTGCATGGAACATTGTGCACGCGAACAGAAAACTGCTCCCCGTACCTCCCTCCGACCACCTCCCGCTCCGCTGGCGCCGTTCTCAGGTAAGCAGGTCAGCAATAGCACTGCTAAGTGTTCCAAGCAAAAGCGGGCGGTTCTTGTGGTTTCCTCAGACTGGCGGTGCTTTCAAATCGACTCGGTCGTTCGATGGCCTTGGCTTTAGGTTTGGGTTCGAGATTGTGTTTTGGATTGAGTCTTGGCCTGCTGCTCAGCCTGGTCCTTGGCACGATGTGTACAAGTACGATTACTACATACAAGTATATCGTTAGTTTCTTTTCAAATTGATTTTTATGAGAGTAACTGCCATTCTGCGCTGTCATCCAAAGTCATGACCGGAGCCATGACACAATGCAGTACAGTGATGGGCGAGATAGTCGCTCTCATATCTCTGGACAGATGAGAAATTGTAGGGACTTCCCCATTGCACATTTCTCACAAACATAATGGCAACAAGTTCTATATTAGGCAATGTTTTTTTTTTTGAAAATCAATTTAAATTATGCACAACATTTGGAAATTTGTGTGAAAGGGATGATTCAATTTCGCACAGGTCCGTTGTATTAAATTCCATTGCTTATTGACATTTATTGTCTTTTTGGTCCTTTCAAACACAGGTAAAAATACTTACGCCGCCCAGATTCTGACTCTCTACTGAAAAATCTACAAGCCGTGTCAATTTGTCATTGCTTGGATCGTCGCTGAACGTCTTTCTTCCTGTCATTCAGCTTTGTCTGCCTCTCTTGTTTGTACTATATATTGCCTTTATGACATTCCGATGCACAGTGGTCGATATACTTGTATTTAATGCTCGGGTAAAATATAATTCAACATTTTACGAGTATATTTTACTATGGAACTGCCTAGAGTAAAAAGGATATGCCAGGTTTGTGCAAAGTATGTAACAGGAAGAAGACCCCATATATGAAATATATTCTTAGTCAGCATAACTAGATGAATCGATCTACACTGATAAAAATGTTGCATAGTACAGATGAATATTTTCATATATTTAATTTAATGTTCTACTACTTCATATTCAAATCAAATAAAAACATCGTAAATTTTACTAAAAACATATTCAATTAGTGATTTTAATATGAATAATATTCAAAACAAAGTGTAAAACTTTGTTATTAAAGTATGTCATATTCAATTTAATGTTAAACCATATTAAATATTAATAAGCACACACTTCAAATAACAAATAGTTAAATGAACTATATTCCATACTATGTATATTTTAATATACTTGTATAATAACATTAATTTCATGTTTTTTGTAGTCGATTTAAATATACTAGACATTTAAGATAATTAATTGGTAAGAATTTAATAATCAAAAGAATTTGAAAATTGCTTTCCACTAAAAATGATTCTATACAAAACATATGTGTATATTAAACATAGTTGAAAAAAGTTACATACAGTAAAGTAGACAACAAAAATTGGAGAATTATTTTATAATTATAAAAAATAAACCTTTGGCGTGAATCAAACCCACGTCCACATCATCATTTATTATTTAATATCGTCACACTTTAAATTTAATATTTTAATATTCAACTTGAAATTTAAGTGTGGACACTTTAAGTCTACTAAAACACACGATGGTAAAAATATTTAAATCTACGTGTAAATATTGAAATTTCCGTGCTTTTTTTTTATCAGTGTAGTCATGTGCGGCCGTCTGCCCGTCCGTTCGTCTGGATGAACGCCTGGATTTCGGAAACGACTAAGCGCACATTAAATAAATTTGGTATGTAGACGCTCCTAGTTTATAGGCAACACGAGTTTATTTTATTTTTTTGAATCCCCCACCCCTCTACCTGCTCCAGAATTTTGTCAGTACTGTCCACATTTCGAAAGCAACATAGACCCAAGTTTGGTTCGGTGAATTCTAAGAAAAGTCATTAGGATTTAGGCCGAAATCGTGTCGTTTACTACCATTTCTAATATGCAATATAGTTGTAATATCTACATTGGTAATTGATATTAAAATGCGACGCAAGCCTGTGCTATAAGTCTTTCCAATTAAATGCAACACAATCCTAGGCGTATACATATACTGAAAACCGAACCGAAACCGAATCGACACCCTTGTTGTTAATATGAGTAGTTGTTTAATTTGAGGCGTTGGTAAAAAACGTACACTACTTGTTCTTTGTTGATGCGAAAGTGTTCTGGGTATTCAGAGGGGCATAGTTATGAAGTAATGCTGCTACATGGCAAACTAATTTTTGTCATCAGAAACATAGACCGAAGGGTAAAAGGATCTGTTAGCTTTGTGCAACTGTAGATAACAAAGAGAAGGCTGAGTGTTAACCCCAGATTTCAGAAACTAATTGTCCCATCGTGTCAAAAA